GGGCGAGATCGACAAGTTTGTCACCGATAGTCGGGGATTGTTGACCCGGTGTGGTCGGGTGTGGATTCCGACTTCTGGCGGGGTCAGACAGACAGTTTTGGCGGAGGCACATAAGTCTCGCTTTTCGATACACTCGGGAGCTACCAAGATGTATCGAGATTTGAGACTAAGTTACTGGTGGTCGTGTATGAAGAGAGACATAGCTTGGTATATTGAGAGGTGCTTAACCTGTAGGATGGTCAAAACCGAGAACCAAAGGCCGCATGGCAAGTTGCAACCTTTGGAAGTTCCCATGTGGAAGTGGGAACAGATCATAGCCCTGATAGGAAATACTATGGTTGGATCACATCACTGATAGGAAAGACTGTGATTAGATCACAACAATGATATTAAATATTATGGTTGGATCACAACACTGATATGAAAGACTGTGGTTAGATCAAACACTGATAGGGAAGACTGTAATTGGATCACAACACTGATATGCATGGAAGACCGTTGTTGGATCATAACACATATAGGGAAGATTGTGGTTGGGACACAACATAGGTAGGAATGTCTATAGATGGATTATAGTAATTGTATGTAAAATTAGGGTGCAGCTCCCAATAATGGAGTCAGGGTTGTGCCCCTCTCTAGGGTTGGGCCCGATATGCATGATTCATGTTTATGGATAGAAGATTTGTTTGCTTGACACTAGAGCCGGAATCTTGTATGGATGAATTGTATGTATAATGGAATATGTGGTATACTGTGGAACTACTAAGCTTTATGCTTACAGTTATTGATTAAACATTTTGTAGGTCGTTTGTGAGAAGAGCTCGGCAGGACTGTACACACACATCGAAGATTTTCGTTTCCGCATTTTTGTCAAATTAACTATGACATTGTATGGTTTTAATCAAATGAATTTTACTTGATGGTTTTTGAAATAAATATTTTATTTGGCTATTATATTTTAAATTTGAAAAATCTCTTTGTAATTTTGGGACGTTACACAATTGTTAGTTTACTCGGGAGATTTGGAGTTGGATTTGTTCGTGAAGTGGTGTCTTTCGAGCTTGCCTCAATAGTCTGATGCATCATAAGAGGTTGATTAAAGAGAAATGAGGGAATAAGCAACTAGTTAAGCTCATACTTGCTTTCACTTTTACCACGTTATGGAGCTTTTGGAAGGCGGGAAATACGACTATTTTCAGGAATTCAAAGTGTTCTCCGCAAAAAGTTATGGATGAGATTCAGGTTTTGGTTTTTAACTAGATTAAATATAGGGCTAGACAGTCTAGTTTAGATTGGTATGTATGGTGCTGCTCTACTCTTGTAATTTGTAGTTGTCTAGCATCTTGCTAGTTTGTTTTTCTAATAAGATTTCTCGTCGTTCTAAAAAAAAAGAATAATCAGTTTAATGACATAATTTACTATAATTTATATGGAGCTATAATATATATATTTTTTTTAACATTTTAAGAGTTGTAAATGATCATAACCATTAAATATCATGTGAAAAAATTAATGAGAGTATGACATGTAAAAAAAATGATATTTTTTTATTAGAGTATATATATATATATATATATATATATATTAATTTGGTTTTAGTTTTAGTTTTAGACTACCTTCATTGTTCCAAATGAAAACATGTTATTAGAGTTAGATATAGATGAAATGGAAAATTGTTAAATGTCATTTTAAAAAAGGAAAATGACACATTAGCCATACTATGTATTTCGATTTTACCCATTCAGTCCCTAAAGGTATTTTCGAGCATATTAAGGGAACAAACTTTAAAATTGTCTGTCTTTTTAGTCCCTTTAACCTATATTAGCTAGTTTCATATTCCACATAAGCATTTTTCCCATTGAAAAGTCAAAATACAACTTGTTCCTTTCTCAAATACAAATTAAAGGTCAAAATCGAAGACTCGCCCTCAAAATCGACTCCCCAAGAACAACAAATCCATTTATGGAACCAACTCGGCGATGACGTCTTCTCAGTAACAACAAGATCAAGCGTTTAATTTTGCAAAAAACCACAAAAATATGGATTTTTTTTCTTGTTTTATTACAATACCAGTGCTTTCGACGTTCTTTATGCTGTCGGAATCAACAAACTACAACAACATAGGCCAAATTCTCATCTCGAAGGCCTTCATGTCTGTTTAAAATTTCAATTCTTCATGGTTTATCTGCTCAAACTCGCAAATCACAGTCATCAAGAAACCTTACTTGTGGTGGTGGTGGTGGACGAGGGGACCAGAGAGTAAGTGATGAAGGAGGTGAGCGACGGGCATTAGGACCTGCAATTTCAGTCATCAAACTACAACATCTATACATAGATAAGAACTTGTTCTCAAAATTTCAGATGAAAAATTCCTCCCTTGCACCAATCGATAACTTTCAAAAACCCTAGCTAGGTTCGCAATTTCTAAATTGGCCACTGTTTAGAGTACGAATCAGTTCGAAAATGTTTATAGAAATTGATTTTGCTATTTTACCATGACTCGTCAAAACCAAAGAAACTTCCATAAAAGAAAACACTCACAAAATTAAACGATGAAGATGAAAAAAAAAGAGTCCGGTATACCTGAACATATCGACTGAAGAGATGTACTAGAACTAATCGCGTGGGAAGCTTGGGTATTGTCGTTGAGTAGACATATATCTGATAAGGAAAGCAGTTTGAAGGCATTAAGAGGGAAACAAAGAAGTGTGTTATGACGAACAAGATAACAGAGACATTCGACTTTGCCGGAAGTAAAGGCTCCGTTGAAGATGTCACAACATTGAGATGAAGGTTTAAAGAAAATTTCATTCAATTTTGACTTTTTAGTACGTAACTGAAGCGTTGGGTCGAGGGAGATGAATTTTGATTTTGCTTACTTTTGATGGACGACCATAGCGGAGAAGAATCCTCCCTGAGTAAAGCTTTTGAGTGAACACCATTTTGTTGCAATATTGTTATTTGTTGGCTTGTACACGTGGATAAGGAAAATTTAGAAACAGTCAACAAGTGTCTATGTGGAAAAGGGGTAATTGGGTTATCCTATCATTTTGTTCAAAGTGACCAAATTGACCCGATAAGAACAACTTTAATGATCTAGAAAGCACGAAAAATACTTAATGGACTGAATGGGTAAAGTCGAAATATATAGTAGGGCTAATGTGTCATTTTCCCTTTTAAAAACCTTAATATCCCATTTGTTGTATTTAATAAAAAAAAAAGATATTGAGTAACCTAACCATTATAAATGAGCATTTTAAAGAGCATAACCATTTTTTTTGGTTTTTGAAAAATAACCACATACTCCCGAGTGCTTCTTTCCGAATTTGATCTTCAAATTTAGGAGTTCTTTTTTGTTTTTTTTTTCAATTTTTTTCCAAAGAAATTTCTTTGATTATGTCTGAAATGTTTATTTCAAAGTGTTTAATGTCATTGTTCTTCAATCTAACGTATGATTGCATGCCCTAATATTGTATATATTTACATTTATTATATTTGTTTAACTGTTTCTCAAATGTAAGTAAAAGGTGAATTTTTTGCTCGGAATTCCGAAATTATTCATCGGATTTCGGATTTGTTTTTGAAATTACGAAGTTTTTGAGACAACTAGTGTTCATTCATAGGTAGTTGTATGTTGTATTGTCCAGAATTAAAAGCACATATGAAATAAAAAAAATTAATTTTAGACAATCACAATAAACTTGTCAATAAGACATCTAATCTTGAGACACTTATTTATTCATCATCTCTTTAAAATATATCAATAGTTTTATTTTATTAGTAGATATTGAAGTATTTACTTATTAATCATTTCAATCGTATTTATTCTGAAATTTTACTTTAAAAATATTTAATATTTACCTTTATATTTAAAAAAAAAAATTAATCGGTCAGTATAATAACTACTATCTAATTTATATGTTGTGTGATTGTGATATTTGAAAATTGAAATCTTACTAAGCATTCCAAAACCTCGAATTTAGACGCGCATAAGCCCATATAGTAACCGATTGGTTATCAACAGGTGATCGTTATCCACCAAACAAGTACTATTCTTTCGGTCACATTCGTTACTTTTATGTTTTGACTTTTGACTTTTTGTAAGATGAGTTAGGTAATGATTGGATCATATCAAATACTATTAATTGAAGGAATATAAGACTGTTCATGCATCTACCCGTAGTTTTGGATATCTATATTCCATTTTATTTGGTTTTGGACCTAACTTTTTGTTTGCTTTTACATTTAAGTTATTTATTCTTAATTTTAATTTGACCAAACAAGTACAAATAACACACGACTCATTTAACATCTAACTTTTACAAGGTTAAATCACAGGTGACGAATAAAGGTGTAGTGGCTAGTGACTAGCAAGCAATGATACATCACGAGTTACAAAAGAAACTTTAAAACAATTATACGAAAATAAATCAATTTGAATTATAACTTAATAATAAGATTTCAATATGTAAAACTAAAAATTTGGTTAAAAAGAAAGGCAAATCACACAATTTATAAATCATTTGTTCCGGCGTTGGAAGCTCAATGGTTGAAAAGTAGAATTTTATTCAAGAGGTTCAGAGTTCAAACCTAACACACCCCAAATATTGTTAGTGTTCTATACGAGACATTTGGATGAATTGACATGAGCTACTTTACCCTTTTTTTAAATCACTTAAAAGTATATATAAATGTGTACATCCATAAAGATCGAGACTATATTTAAGGTCTAAATGCTAGAAAGAACAATGTTATGCTCTAATTTTTCCTTTCTTATTATTACAATGTACTATGAAAAATCTATCTAATGATAGCATTCTAACCCGCCTATTTTGGCATATATATCTACAGTTTTAAAATTGTCATAATCCTAGACTCTTATAAAAAGTCACCTTTCAAACCCATGATCATTCAAAAGAAAAGGAAAAAAAAATCATATTCGAAGATCTTGAAAGCAAGTAGAATATTTAACTTCATAAATATTCATATTTTGACAGAAGAGTGGAAACCCTACACTACATTCTAAGCTAGAAAACAAGATATAACCCGAATTACAGAGGTCTGAACTTGGAAAAATGCAGCTACACCTCTGGCTATTTATGCATATCAATACCAAAAGAAAACCTTCATAGTAACATTCAAAAGAAACTACCTTTATTCCCACACTACTGATTATGTGCTTCCATGGGCTTTGTAGCTGGTTTGTGATTTAGGTAACGAATAACTGCATCCTCAACCCTACACATTTACCAAAAGATAATTCCATTAGATTTTAAACCCATCACAGCAGTGAAAATTAACACACACACACACACACACTACATACAAGAAATAGCAATGTACAATGCTTGTAATCAAAAGAAATAATAGTATAATGCTATAATAAACATTAACCTCACTAAAACAAAGATGGTGAAATTACCAGGGTTGGTTATAGAAATCAGCTCGATGCTCTCTTTCATCACTACGGCTTACTTCCCCTGCAAGAAACTTTAGATCTTTGCCTTGAGATTCAATCAAAGCATCAATAAATTCAACGGGTGATTGACTAAATCCAAGAAAAAAAGCTCGTCTTTTTCGATGCTCGTTTATCTTTCGTACTGTTGAACATATTGCTTCATTACAAGCTTCAATCTCTTTGGTTTTCTCAATGTTAGCCAACAAAGCATTCAATTCCTTTTGTACTGGAAAAGGAACATCCACCACTACATCATAACATGCATTTCCAGCTGGATTGTTTCCTGATAGCTTGATTTTATGTTCCAAATGTATAGGTTGTGGTGGGGATAAATGGGTTGAAATCTTCTGTGAGACATTGGAAAATTTCATTTTTTCTTCCCCGAATATTTTCTGAAGGGGTAGATCACAATTAAAATAGGAAGGAGAATCTGCATCCTGTAACTTTCTAGCCTTGACATATTGCCATATTGCAGCTATAATTCTTGGTCGGGTATCAACTTCAATTCCAAGAATTTCCATTAGAGGATCCGAAAGCTTAAATTTTTCAGGCGTGTAATTCATTTCCAAACGTATATTCACCATGAACTCTTTATCGCCTTTTCTCTTGACTTCAAACCCTTCATGAGGTGTTGGTGTTCTAGAACTATCCCACACTATCATATGGTTATCAGGATACAGTCTTTGGTCCAATGAAATAGTAACTCTTTTGAAGAAAGATGAAAACTTTGGGTAAATGGGGTTTGGCTTTGAAATCAATCCAGCTTGATCAGGATCCATTCCCTCTTCTAGTATTCTCCCTATTATCTTCATTGTCCACGTAGGCGGCTCAGTGTTTGGCTTCTTGGGAATTGTATGAATTTGATTAGAGAATGTGTTAAAAACATAGATTCGAAGGGTTTTCTGAATGCAAGGTGGGTTTTTGATCGCTTCTTGAATGTCTATCTTCTTTCTCACTAAAGCAGCATCAACACGCGACTCAAACTCAAGAAGCTGCGTGTATAGAGCAGATTGTGGGAGAATTGCTGCCACTCTTTCTTGTAACTGTTTCCCTGAAAGTTTCTGCTTCTTTTTGTTACGAGGGGCTGGTGTAAGTTCCATGGTCCTCATGGGAGAAATGGTATTTGGATTTGATACTCCAGGTGGCCTTCCGATTTGTTTTTGAGGCATTCGTTTTGTGCTTGCAATAGTTGATGGAAAAGAGGGTGAATTAGTTGCCAAAGATCCATGGGATTGGCTAGGTGCTAGCCCTTGAGCTTGGAGCTGGGCTTGGAATTGGGCATGGTTAGCCTGAGCTTGAGCTGCAGCTTTAGCCTGAACTTTTGACTGGGCTTGAGCAATGGCTTGGGCATGGGTCGCAGCGAACTGGGAAACCTGAAATTGATTCGTGAAGGGAGATCCAGAGGGTCGTTGAGTTTGGGACTGTGTATGCGACTGTACATGCGCAGTAGGGTTTGGTGGTATAGAATGTCCAAAAGGAGAGTTCTTTAGCGGATTATTGTTGTTCGCAGACATACTTCACACAGACTGTATCCCTAATTCTTACAATGCTGGCTCAAAATGCATGAAAAACCTAGATTGCAAGCCAGGAACGGAATTTCAGAATGCGCATGCAATGCTAAAATTAGGTTAAAACCATCACCACAAATTGATACAAAAACTTACCTAAACAAGAGAGAACTGTTGACGTATGAAATACAAAATAGGAAATTTGAGCAAAATATTTATGGTGCAAAAAGATCACGTGAAACTTGGAGAAAATCATACAAATTTCAACCATGAAAATGCATATAAGATCTGCTAGTCATGCTTACATGATGAAGGCGCGGAGCCCTTCGCAGCTCCTGTAGTAGCCAGATTTTAGTTTCGATATCAAGCGTCAAGGTACAGAGTTTTGTGGCTTCTTTTGCTTCTCGCCCTTTCGCTTCCTTTTGGAGTCTGGAGTCTAGTATGGGTTTGGTATTTTGAATTGGGTGACGAACCTATTATTTATTTTTATTTTTTTTACCTTGTAGCTTTTATCGGGCTGTTTATATGTTTTTACTGGGCTGGTAAGGCATTGGGTCGTCATATTCATTCTTAGATACTATAATTAAAAACCTTTTATTTGGTTCTATAGAATCTGCCATCTGAAATGTCTTTTACAAAAAAAAAATTTAACTCAATACATTTAAATAACAACTATCAAAACTAACCCTTTAATTTATGTTTCAAATTATTATAGAACTTCCTTGATCTATATATGTAAAAGTTAATCATTTTTTGTAAAAAATTCAACATGACTAAATTAATTGATTAAAATTATATTCTTATATAATTTGATAAAAAAAAAACAAGGACAAAATACAATTAACAAGTAACAACACCACCCCTCAAATCCAAATATATTAGTTTTGTTTAATGGTATATTAAATTTAATATATTAAAACAATTATTTTTATAGTTGCATTCTGTTTTCATAGAAAATTCTATATGGTTTATTAGAACAATTTAAAAAAGAATTATGAGTTGTGTATTTAAAAACAGCATACTACATGTAAAAAAAAAGCTCGTTTTATTTTAAAAGACGTAAGTTAATGATAAAATAAAAGACAGATTACTTAAAATAAAACTTAAGTTTATTTGATTATAAAAATTATAAGTTAAAGCTCTTGTATATTAATTTCGAAACTATTTTTACTAAAATAAAACTTAAGAAAAAGTACATACAACTTGGCAACTTTTAGTAGATAGTTTGTCAAGTGCTCTATGCATCTTAAAAGCACTTCTGTAAGCATAAAGTTAAAACGTTAACCCATTATGCAGAGTTGGGAAATAGCACCAAAATACAACCATGTTTGACTATTAAAAGTCAACTCGTACTTCTTATTTAGACACTAATCACACAACACCTCTTCTCAAGCGACCATCACACAACAATTCATAATAAAATGACTCAACTGAATCCTGCCATTATCAAGTAGCTCCCAATTCGGCAACCCTTCGGATCTCGGGTCCGGGTTACACGTATAAATAGCCACCGAACTTCTAGAAGACGAAACAGTTGAAGCCCCTATCACAAACAACTTATCGCCAAATGACTTAAACGCCACTCCCCAACCCCGATTATAATCCGCCCTCACAGGAACCATACCCAACCGCTTCCAACTGTTACTACCCTTTAAGTAAACTTTCAACTGATTCGAAGAAGCTTCAATCGAATAAAGCTCGTTATTCACCACCGCAATTAATGGAGGAGAGTGGCAACTAAGGACAGGATTGTCTTTTAACATCTCCGGGATCAAAGTCCATTCGTTCTTTCCCTCGTCGAAAAACTCGCCACATGTCAGCTCCTCATTCGTGTTCCTCCCACCAATAACATAAAACCTATCGTCCATGTAACAACCCGAGCAAAGCTTCCGGGGTCTATTCATTCTCGGGAGTGGGGTCCACGAGCGGGTTTCCAGGTGGTACTTCTCAACCGTGTTATGGATGATCTGGGTCCCGCTCATGCCACCACCAACCACCGCGATCCCGCCTGCCACGTAAGCGGAGTTCCCGCAAGTGGCGGAGGCAAATAAGCATCTAGGGTAGATCATTGAAGGGCCTTTGTACCATTTGTTCATGGCTAATTCGTATCTCCAAATCATCAAACCTTCAAGTTCTCGACCCGATACGAGTAAATGGGTCCCAGCACATAGTGATTCTTTGTCTCCTGAAGCAAAACATATGTCAGATGGAAGAACGGGAAGCCTTCTGCGGGAACTAAACCCTTGATCGAAACCCCACCAGCAGTTCTCGCCGCTTGCGAGCATTAAAACTGATGGCTCGATGAAACCGATGTTTCTCCTGATTTTGAAAAGCTCGCCGGATTTTACTAAGCTTGCAAATCTTTTGTTGACGAAGGATATTTTCCAATATTCGGACCTTGGGAATCGGGCTAAGATTAAACCCTCTAACTCGTAACTCAGTGAAGGAATGTAAGTGGAGTAATCTGCATCCTGGGGTTTCTCCGATGAACTGGAAGCCGAATCGAGTCCGAGTTCAAGTGAGTTTTGATTATCTGGAACGTAGGATTCACCATCTTTTTCGTTATCTTGTTCGTCTGATTCTTCCGTCACCCTTTCCTTTCCTTTCGACATGATCTGATTGATTGCTTTCTTTCCTTCAATTGGCAAGAGGAATAGAGTAATCGATGATTAATTAGGTTGATCAGGATTCAGGTACATAAAACTTAGAGAATAACCAAGAAATTGACATAAAACGTGGTTATCTTTTAGAGAATCAAAGAGAAGCAATCTTTTAAATAACGTTTGTTCAGTTATCAATGAATACAAGATCATATTTTGTTGTCATATAGGACATGTTTTGGGAAAATTATTTGAACAGAATCAAACTTCAGGAACAATAATTTAGAAAAAACAAAAAAGAAAAGTGGAAGAATATAAGTCAAGAGGAACAGTGAATGATATATGGAATATAATTACAGGGAAAACGCATGTTGGGGATAACAAAAACAAAATAGCCATCGTTGAAACTAGTAGAGCAGCGAAAAGCTAAAAGCATCGAAATGAAAAAAAAGAAAAAGAGGAACTTAATTCCCCATTATGAACTACCATGATAACAAACTAAATTTTGAGAAGAAGAAGAATGCACGAATACTGTTTGGTATAAAGCCTAAAAAAAAAAGCGATATACTTAATTAGCTAGCTCTATACATAGCCACATGAAAAAGAAACATTAAATATAGAAAGAGAATAGATAGTACCAGAGACAGGAGTCGAAAAAGAAGAGTAATCAAAACGACTGAACAGGACACTCATAAGTCATAACCCATAAAGAAGAAAATGATGAGTTTGGAGTATATCTGCTTCAATCCACGTTAGAGAGAAGGGAGCAGCGAAGCCATTAATGGGTTCTCGGAGAGATGATGGCGATGATATAAGAGGATGGAGATGATGGGTTCGCCAATTGGAGTGCTTAAATTACTCTGCCCATTAAACAACAAAGAAAAGTGCCCGACCCCCACCCAAAAATAAAAACAAAAACCAAAAACCTCAGGTCGAATCTGCTGTTGCCCAATCCCCCCCCCCCCCCCCCCCCCCCCCCAAAAAAAAATAATAATAAATAAATAAAAAAAACACTACCGCAATCCTCACTTACCTTTTCTTCCATCATCATCTTTCTTATAATACAAATTAGTTTATAACCCATATTCAACTTTTATAATAAAAATTTATAATTATTAATCAATTATTTTACATAAATTATTAATTAAGAGATATACTATCAAAATTTTAAAGTTATTATAACTTCAAATTTAACATATAATTAGAAAATATAAATTTGAATTTTGAAATAAGTTGCTTAATATATCAACATGACACATGACATAATATTAATGAAGAGTTAATGAAGAGTTGTATTAGAGTGACACTTGATAAAAGAAGATTAAAACTCTTCATTTATTAGAATAGGGATTTTACTTTGAGAAAAAAAAAATAGATTAATTTTATTTATCATAATTTTTCAAAATTTAGCAAATGTGTTGCTATATGTATATACGAACTAGCACGTTTTGTAAAAAAGAAAAAAAAATCATTGACATTTCTCAGAAAGACATGCAAAGGTGGCTCATGGGATATATGCGAAAGATAGGGTCTCACAGAGCCTCCAATCGTCTCTAATCAAAAATTTTATTTAATATATATTGTATTAATTATAAATTAGAAGAAAAAAATAATACATTAACTAAAATATAACTAGACGCTACTAATCTCATCATTTAATAGATTCAAAATATAATAAAAGAAGAATATTTTAAAAAAGTATGTTTTAATAATAGTGATTGATTGGCTAAAATAAAGGAAAAATGAATTGATAGTCTCAAAAATCCAATTATACACTAATTCTTGTATTTCCTTTTCGACTAGTGTTTAGATAGTTTTTTTTTTGTATGAAATATTTGCCGTTAAAAGAGCATTTTGACGAGAGTGATGTTTAGTCATCGAAACTAGTGAATAAACTTTCGCTTAAAAAAACATTCTAAGATTCAATATTTTGTGTATAAAAAATTAATCATTAGGGAAATATTTTGAGCAATACAAGCACTATGAATATATTTTTGGTCAAAAAAAAAAAATCATGAAAAGAGGTTACAAGTGGTCACATCATCGATGGTAATGATTTATACAATAAATTGAAATTGTTAGAAAAAAAATACTCAATTGAACATAATACAACATAATATTATATTTCTTCAAAAATATTAAACATATATCCAGTTTCTTCCTTACGATACAAAATATTATTGATTGTTCCAAAACAGTTGTATATATGGAAAAATTCTTATTTAAACTAAAACTTTTATAATTTTATTTTCCGTCAACCATGTTTCAAGAGAGATTAAATGTTTGTCGTTGATTTCGATCCAAAACAAATTTCTTGCAAATATTGATTATATATTAAAATATAATTGTAACATCCGTATCCTAGAGGTATTATTTCTTATTAAGTTATTTTACTTTTGCTTGTTTTGGGAGGCCACGACGTGGTGGAAGGACCACCACGACGTGGCAGTGTATGAGTTGGACCCGAGTTTCATCTAATCGGCCACAATATGTCATTCTTTGGGTCGCGATGTTGCAGCCACATGGTGCTAAAAAAAGTCTAAATTTTCGGGTATTTAAAGGAAAGTATGGGCTAAGGTTGTTTACTCCCAGCCTCCATCACTCTCAAACATCAGAAACCCTAACCCTAACGCCACTTAGTGATTATTGAGCTTATGTTGGTGCTTGTTGTTGCTTTTGAAGGAAGAAGAAGGCTTTGGAGGTCTTGTTAGCATCTTGGCTAGCTTTGGGACTTCGCTTGAGGATTCTCTGGACCTTTGGTATGAACAAGATCCAAACTTTATGCTTCTATATCGCTAGATCTAAGGTTTTGTCCCATTTTCTTATTGAATAAGCTTGTTAGAGTGGACGGATTCCATAAAGTCAACAACTTTATAGATCCTTGAGGCCCCTCTTAGGTCATATGTTGTAAATCTGGAATTTCTTTGGAAGCTTTTGGTCTCATCAAGTTTAATTTCTTTTTCTACCATGTTTTGACCTAAAAATGGAAGAGACATGCATGTCCATAAAGCACCAACTTTTATGTTCATTTTGGTGTAAGAAAGCTTTTTGGAAAACATGGGTGAATGACCTTGATGATTAAGAGCTTATTGGTTAAGTCATGACTCTTGATGTTTTTAAGGACCTAGGTTTAAATTTTTTGTCTTAATGGAATGTCTTAATGGATAAATTTGGAAACTTTATCCATCAAGACCTTAAGAAGGATCAGATCTGAACTTTGGAGCCCTTAGATTTGGAAGAAAACGGCTTAACTCGATTAAGTTGTTCAGAATAGTTCCCACGTCGTGCCCACAACGTGGCCTTTAGGCTGCCACGACGTGGATACTAGGGATCAGTCGACTGTTTTGGAATTTTGTACCTACAACATGGCCAAAGGGAGGCCACAACGTGGAGGGTTGTTGTTGACAATTTTGACCTTAACTTTGACTGTTGACTTTGAGGGTTGACTTTTGACTCGTTGACTTTTAGTCAAATTTTTAGTTTTAGAAAGGTAGCCTAAACGTTTACCTTGTGTGGATATCTAGGTGGCATTTAGCACATGTTCTTGGATTTTGATAGCTATTGACTTTTGTCGGCACCATCAGGTAAGTCTTCTTACTATACCGTGTAGGATGCTAGCTATATTTGTGACTCTTGCATTATATGATGGGCGGGGCTCGTTTGTATGCTGGGTTGGGCCCATTATGTATGATATGTGGGGCCCATTTGTATGTTGTGAGGGGCCCGTTTCTATGTTGGATGGGGTCCGTTATGATGGGCAGGGCCTGAGGTTATGTATGGTATATGGTATTTTGGAGAACTCACTAAGCTTTGTGCTTCCTGTTTTGTGGTTAAACATTTTCAGGTAATTCTAGTTCTAAAGGGAAGGGGTTGGCATGACTGCACAACGTTCCCCCTATGATTTCCACATTGATAGGTGTGTTATACTATGATATTTGAGATACATTTATATTACTCTTGATTTTGGAACAAATGATGTATGAATTTGATGGCTTTAAACTGAAAAAAAGTTTAGTAGTATTTTGGGTTGTTACAAGTTGATATCAGAGCTTTGGTTTGAGGGATTCAGGCACAATCTCGGGTGTATCTAAACTCAAACTGTGGAAACAATAAATTTTTAAATAAATTTTCTAAAAAGGATATTTATGAAGAAAGGGGTGCGACGTGCGCATTCTAGCGTAGGGCTAAGGATGCCTTCAGGAATCAAATGCTAGAATTGCCTTATTTGTGTGATGCCTTATATCCTAGAGGGATTGGATGCTATGTAGTACTTTAGATTGTATTGGTAAAGTTAATTGCCAAGTGTATGTTCAAAAATTGTATATGGTTAGGATCATATAGCCTTAGCATGATTGATCGAGCCTTATTTCATGTTCCTTGTTTGGTTGTGGGCTTAGGGTAGAATCATTATTCGACCGTCTATTTGATCCCTTATTGTGTACAATTTGCATGCATAAGGCAACCGACAGTGTTGGTAGAAATTCCTAGTATTGCAGATGCTAGTGAGGCGAGGATTCCTAGGAGAGCCTAGGGAGTACTAAAGTGGGGTTATGTATGCTATTTAACATAGGATTTGTGTGATTTACCTAAGTGTAGTGACTTAGAGGATTTGGGATGGTTCTTAGGGAAAGTACGGATAGGTGTGGAAGGTATTATTGGGTCCATACTACTAAAAGCAGAGGATCTATACTCGAGTCAATGATGGTCTCGTAAACTATAAGGAGCTTGTGGTGTGAGAGTTCCCTCGAGTATTTTCTGATCATTTGTATCTTTGCGTTTCAGTATGGTGAGCACTTGACGATGAGGTTCTGGTTCCAGTTCTGGCACTGGTGTAGAACCGATTCAGGAGAGGATGTGCGAGTTCATCAGCGAACAAGCTTCTGTTATGAGGGGTCGAAGGTGGGATTTACATCTTGCCTTCAGAGGGACCGAGTTCATGATTTGTGGGAGGAGGTTAGCCATGTTATATGATCGGCGGCCGTGGCGGCCATGACCTGGGATGATTTTGTGATGATGTTCCGAGTAGAGTTTGCACCGGATATCGAGATGCAGCAGCTGGTGAGGGAATTTTAGGACCTTCGCCATACTATGGAGACTATATCGGAGATCACCTCCAAGTTTCGGGAGAGAGCTTTGTTGGTCCTGGAGTATGCAACAAATGATGGGATGAAGAAGACGAGGTACCATGATATGGTGAGGGACGATATTAAGGAGTTTGTGATCTTGTCGGGTTGCAAGACCATGGAGGATATGATTGCTAGAGCCTGGGAGCGGGAGATTGATTTGGAGCTTCTGAGGAAGCAAATACTGGTGCAGACACAGACATCGGAGGGACAGGAAAAGAGGCCCAAGACTGCTAACTCGTGATCGAGAGGCCATCAAGGTCGGGGCCGTTGTGCCAAATACGGGAGGTCTCACGAGGGGAGTTGTCGTGAGAAAGGAAGGAGATGCTTTAATTGCGGCCAGTTGGATCATTTCAGCAGGGATTGCACTTGTGGAGCACTGATATGTTTCCACTGCAATCAGACGGGCCATAAAAATGCCGATTGTCTGATATTGACAAGAGGAGCCATGACGGCGCCTGCAGCAACCACTTTGAGGATTACCGATGGCCACCATGGCAAGGCGGCGACTCCTGTGGTGAAGAGTAGGGCATTCTAGGTGAAAATAGAGGAGGCTCGAGCAGCACCTGATGTGGTTACCGGTATGCATCTTTACTATATCTTTTACTTCTTTCTTTGTTTATGCTTATGTTTTATCTGATCAAATATATGGACATTCTTAGTCAATGATATGACTGCTCATGCTCTGTTCGATTCGGGTGCTACCTATTCTTTTGTATATCTTGCTCTTAGCAAGAAGTTTAGTGACGGTCCAGGGACTCTGGA